CGTCCTCACTCTGCTCGAAAGCACCTCGCCCAGGGCCCCCAGCGGCTCGCGGGGCGCCTCAGGGCTGGGTCAGGACTCTGGGCCGAGGCTGGAAGCGAAGCAGGGCTCGGCGCCGAGTGCGAGGCATCGCGCTGCCTCGTCGTTGCGGGCTTGCAGAGGCGCCTGCGCTTCTCCTCAGGGCCGAGCTTGACCTCCAGCTTCTCCTGGTTCTCTAGCTTGCGGGAGCCCTTCTTGTCCTCCATCTTGTCCTCAAGCTCTTTGTCCTCAAAGCTCTTCTCCTCGGGTTTGCTGGCGTCCTCCCACAGCGTGGTGGGTTCCGTCTCCCTCGTCCACTCGTCGCCCTTCGCCCGCTCGCCGACGCTCTCGTCGTCCGACCGCGCGGCGACAGGCCGACGATCGTCGCTGTCCGACTCGGCCATGGGGTGCTGCGTCCTCATCTGGCTCAGAAATGCTCGAGCCTGAATTAGCCACGGTTGTTTGTTGTTATTGTTGTTTGTCGTGTTGCTAGTCTTGTTTGTCTCGTTGCGTTTGCTATTCTTGTTTGTCTTGTTGTTGTGCTGCTTGCGCAGCTGTTGTTTGTTCGCTTGGTGTTTGTCTTGTTGCTTCTGTGCCATTATGTTGCTGCTGTTTTGCTGGTTGCTGTTGCTGCCGTGGCAGCTGTTGTTTGTGTTTGTGCTATTGTGTGCGAGTGCGTGTTACTGTGTGTGTGTGGGGGGGGGGGGGTGTGAGTGTGTGTGTGTGGGGGGGTGCGCGTGAGTGTGCGAGTGTGCGAGTGTGCGAGTGTGCGAGTGTGTGTGTGTGTGCGTGTGTGTGTGTGTGTGTGTGTGTGTGCGTGTGCGTGCGTGCGTGCGTGTGTGTGTGCGTTGGTACGTTTGCGCGCGCGTGTGCGCGCGCGTCTGCGCGCGTGCGCGTGACCGCCGGGTGGCGAGGCTCAACCCTCGATCCTCGGATCGAGGGCCCGAGATCCTGGAGCCCAAGCTTGGCGATCCTCGGATCTAGGATCCGAAGTGCTCGCAGATGCCCAAGACCAAGATCTCGGATCCTCATTCCGAGGGTGGAGGATCGAGCCCGCTCGGCGGCGGCGCGGGCCCGAGGGCGGCGAGAAGGGCGATTACGATCGCCGAGGCCCGGCCCTCGGGCCTCGGACGTCGATCCCGAGATCCTGGAGTCCAAGCTTGGCGACCCTCGGATCTGGGATCCGAGGAGCTCGCAGATGCTCAAGACCAAGATCTCGGACCCTCGATCCGAGGATGGAGGCTTGAGCCTGCTCCGCGGCAGCGCGGGCAGGAGGACGGCGACGAGGGCGATCTACCATCGCCGATGCTCGGCCCTCGAGCCTCGGACGTCGAACCCGAGATCTTCGAGTCCAAGTTTGGCGACCCTCGGATCTAGGATCCGAGATGCTCGCGGGTGCCAAGACCAACATATCGGATCCTCGATCCGAGGATGAAGGATGGAGCTTGCTCGATGGCAGCGCGGGCCCGAGGGCGGCGTCGCCGAGGCTCGACGCTCGATCCTCGGATCGCGAACCCGAGATCTCCGAGTCCAAGCTTGGCGATCCTCGGATCTAGGATCCAAGGCGCTCGAAGATGCTCTGAACCTAGATCTCGGATCCTCGATTCGAAGATCTAGCCTCCTCGATGGCGGCCTGGGCCTGACGACGACGACGGCGACGATCGAGGGTCGCCGAGGCTCGATCCTCAATCCTCGGATCGCGAAACCGAGATCTTCGAGTCCAACCTTGGCGACCCTCGGATCTAGGATCCAAGGTGCTCGAAGATGCTCGGACTCAAGATCTCGGATCATCGATCCGAGAATGGAGGATCGAGCCTGCTCGATTCCTCGAGGCTTGATCAAGGATCACTCGGCATGGGGGGGGTAGCATCCCGCAGTTTGGAACGCCACTCGCGCGTGCTCGAACGCTCTCTTAGAGCTTGAGAAACAGATGGGGCTCGAGCGCGCGCCACGAGACGGCGCCCTCGCAGCGAAAAACATGGGGGCGCTTGGCTCGGGGCGCTCGCGCGCCAGGCTCTCGGGCGTCCACGAGCGTGAAAAAGGCGGCCTCTGGCTCGGCCTTCGCGTCGGCCTGGCCCCTCTCGCCGTCGCGCCTGTTCATGAAGAGCTCGTCGTAATCGGTCTGGATCTAGGCAACCCTCCCGAAATTTACTTTGATGTGCTTGTCGAGAAGCATTGTCTCGAACTCCTACCGCCTGACGGCTTTCGAGAAGTCCAGCTTGGCGCGCTTGTCCTGGTAGCTCCACTCCTGGAGCTCGTAACTCATGTCGGCTGTCCTCTCGCCGGCCCAGCGCCACTTGACGATCGCTTGCGTGGCGGCCTTGGCGATCTCGTCACCATTGATCGAGGCCGCGGCGTTCTCGTTGCACCACCTGGCGCGGCCTCGCTCGGAATGAAGTCGTAGAGCTGCTCGGCATTGCCGGCGCGCCCCTCGCCCCAGTGCTCGACGGGCTCGAACTTCTTGTTGAGCGGCAGCACTAGCTCGTGGAGGTGGAGGAGCTCGGCGGGGACGCATGGGATGGCATAGCCGATGCGCTCGGCGTAGAGCCGTGGGTGAGCTTATTGACGCTCTCGGTGCCGAGCCCCATGTCCGTCTTCTTGGCGAGCTCCTGCATCTTGTCCTTGCAGCTCGGCATGAGCCAGAAAAGGTCCTCGGGCGGCTCTCTGCGGTTCTCGAAGATGTCGTAAACGTGCTCGTCATTCTCGCAGTAAGTCTTGTAGAACACCGCCACGGCCAGCTCGATGCGCCTCTTGTCCTTCCCGCTGAAGATGCGGCCGTAACCGATGCTCTAGCGGGGCCCGCCTTGGTGGACCATCTCGAGGGCGGCTTGCTGGGCGCTGCTTGACCACGGTGCGCTCTCGGCCTTGGAAAGGTAGCTCGTTGTCCTCGCTGCACCTGTTCCTTGCGCGCTCGATCGGCGCTGGCGCGTCTCGGCGATCGCGCGCTTGCTCGCGATGAATGACAGCTTGTCGGGGATCTTCTCGTTTTGCTTGGCCATGCGCTCGAGGTTCTCGCTTGAGCTCGGGCTCGGGGTCAAGATGCCCCCCGGGGCCTCGACGGGGAGGCTCGCCGCCGCGGCGCGCTCGGCGGGCCGGGGCGTCGCTGGGGCTCGCGGCGCACTCAAGGCAACGACGCGGGGGGATAGGCATTGAGGGGGGGCGTCGACCTGGAACCGGCGACGCATCGCCGACGCATCGGCGACGCGCGCCCGATCATGAATCCGCGCGTTCCCGGGCAGGTTCGGCACGCCCACCCCCCCTGTCGCCGCCCCCGGGGCGAAGAGGTTCGGCGCTTCGAAGAGGCTCGAAAGCTTGGAGTCTCGGGGGCTCGGGGAAGCCCGGGCCGAGGCAGCTGCCGGGGCAAAGGAAAAGGAGGAAGGGGGGGGGGGGGGGAGGAGGAGGCAGGGCCACGAACCGCGCGAGGGGCGCGCTATAAGAGGGAATTAACTCCAATGCTCTGCCTGCTCGCGAGAAACGCACGCAATCGAAATCCAATCGGTCCCTATGGCCCTGCCGCGCGTTCCTGACTCGGGAACGGCTAAAAACATGAGAATCCCATTGCCCTGCCGCACGTTCGTAACTTGGGCAAACTGAACTGGTGAGAATCCTGCGGCCCTGCCACGCGCTCGCGATTGCGGTCGCAGGCGTGCTCAGACGACCATGGCCATTCTTAGCGTTTCTGATGCCGCCGCTAGTTAACATGATATGATAGCAACTTCGATTCGCAACTTTCCCCGTAGTTCGGCCCCCGCGCCGCCCATCCACAATTAAATCCTGCTGGGCGGGGATTAGAAAAATAGGCGGGGTGAAAAAGAGGCGGGCGTAGCTATCGCCCGTGGTCGGTTGCCAAAAAGAAGAACTCATGAACGAAGCAAGTCGGGGAGCTGGCCGGGGAGACAAACGCCGCTGGGCAGGGGCGAGCTTGATAGAGCACTGCGGGCATTACGTCGACCTGCTGCTGTGCAACATGCTGGAAAACAAACGCTTCGACGGCCATCTCGCAGACAGCGCTGAGCGACCGGGCGCTTTGGCATACTATTTTGAGAAAGTGCAATGACAAGTTCGATTCCCGAAATTGCCGCCGACTTCAGAAAAAGAAGTAAGACCAGTTTTGAACGTGGACACGAACAAATTCACAATGCTGGAGCCGCAGGCGGCCGCGCGTAAAATGAAGAACTCGATAGCAGCAAGTCTCGATGATATCCCACTGGAATTCTGGAAAGCCGCGGCTGAAAACCATGACGCTTGCGACGCACTGCTACAATTATGTTCCAATGTTGGAAAAAAAAAAAACTTACCCGAAGCGTGGAGGATGGCAAACCTGACCCTACTCTTCAGGAAGAGCGACACCTCCCTCCCGAGCAACTACCGGCGCGTATATTTGCTTGCGGGTGAATATTACCCCTAGCATCTACGATGCGTCGACGGTTGCCCCGAGGCGGAGCAGAAGAACAAGCGCGGATTACTCGATTTGGTTTCCGGCCAAAACGCGGGGCGGCAGACGCACTAATGATGGCCAGAAGGATGATTGATGCAACTTATCAAAACACAAGCTCATGGGCCAATCTTGTATCCTGCAACATTGGGCTCGAACTTTTGATCGACTTAGACCAGATTGCCTTTGCAAAGCATTACCACGTTTCGGACTTCCTGCCCCCACGGTAGACCCGATGAACAGCATATATGAACAAAAATATTTGACGGTAGTAGATCATTGCGGACGGTCTTCACAACGCACTCAAAAGGCAGGCATTACCCAGGGGTGCCCGTTGACCCCATACCTCTTCATTGCTGTGCGAACTGTTCTTCTACGCGACGCTTTGGCGTGTTTGTTTTTGTCTCTGCGCGAGAAGGGCCCAGCGGCGACGACAGGAAACGACGCGACGACGAACGGCGGATGACAGACGAAACGACAGGGGCGCGCGGGGCGGGGGGGGGTGAGGGGAGGGTAGAGGAGGCGCGCCGGCCCGCGCGGCCGGCTGGCCTCAGCCCCGCTGGCCGCGGCCCTGCGCAGCCCAGCTAGCCTGCGGCCCATGGGCAAACGCCTCGGCGACGCCGAGGAGCTCCGGCGCCGCCAGGCGCGACACCTGCCCGCCCACCCGGCCCCGCGCCGCGGGCAGGCGCCGGCCCTCGGGCACGCCGAGGAGTCTCGCGGCGAGGCGGACTGGGGCCTGCCGCGCTCGAGGACGGCGTAGACCTCCGCGCGCACCGCCTCGGTCGCCTCCGCGGCCGCCGCGTCGGCGGCCGCGGCCATGGCCGCCGCCTGAGCGGATTCCGCGGCGCGGACCTCCGCGGCCGCGCGCGCCGCAGCCGCGTCGGTCAGAGCCGCTGCCTGCGCGGCCTCCGCCGCGCGGGCCCCCGCGGCCGCGCGCGCGGCCGTTGCGGCGCCCAAGGCGGCCCCCGGTCTGGGCTGCGGGCCCGCCGCCGGCAGCGCCGCCGCCGTTTGCGGGGCGTTGACCTCGGCGGCCTCCTCCTCAGCCGCTAGCAGGTCCGCCCAAAGCTGCTACTTGCCCAGCTCCGGCCCAGATGGGGCCGCGGGCCCGGCCGCGCGCCCTCGGGGAGGTCGCGACGGCCGCGGCCGCGGCCTCGCGCTCCTGAGCCAACTCCTGGCCCCCCAGCCCCGCTGGCCCCGCCCCGCCTCGCGGTGAGGCCTGACCGGAAGCGCCCAGGGCGCCGCCCGAGTCCGGCTCGTTTGCGAGCTGCGCCCAGTCGAGCGCGTCGTACACGACGCTTCGGCACATCTTGCGCTCGCAAAAGAGCCAAACTACATCGTTACCCCGGACATCTTTTCCGCGGAGGACATGCTTTGGCATCCAATGGTCCTGGGAATTTGCCACAAATGCTGGACGCAACCGTGTTGGAGGGACAAAGATATGGATTAAATTGGTTTGGGACAAGACAATGCAAATCCAATGTTGCAGCCAATGTGTAGTCAAACGACCCAATGGGGAGCCCATCCGGAATGTTCGCGAAACGATATACTTGGGGGTATTCTGTCTTGCGACGGGCGCGCATGCCATGAAGTGCCCCGGCGGATCGGAGACACAAGACATCTTTTCAGACAGCTTCAGAAGATCTGGTCGCATGTATTAATTGGGGAGCAGGGAAAGTTGCACATATATTCAACCTGTGTGGTTTCCAAATTATTATATTCACTGGACTCTTGTTGGTTGCTCAAATCCGACAAAAATGAACCGGACGCGTTTCGCTGTAGTTGTTTGCGGAGAATTCTGGACAGCCCTCATTCATACTATTCACACACACATATACATATATTTGTATAACCCTTTCTCTTTACCTTCCCACGCCAAGGGGTCTGTGGCTAGCGTCGCTAGCAACCACCAGCTGGAGAGGCATGCGCCAGGCCCCTCACCGCTCGAGACCTACCCCCAAGACCTCAGGAGACCTCCAGGCAGCCCCGAGGACACCCAAGGAATCTCTTTGCTGGATGCCCCAAGGTCGAGGCCCGAGGAGAACCCGAAAGACTCCAGTCCAGGAAGCTCGACCCAGGGAACCCCGAGGGAACGCCGAGGCCTGAGGAGGGCTAGATCGGAGCGGACAGGCGGCTAGCCTCTAGACAGCGTGGGGGTAAAATCGCCTCGCATCCACGAAGTAGGCCAGGCGCTACTATAGGGTGGCGCGGGCGGGAACCACAAAGAGATCTACGAAGGGATGCGGCGTTTCTCGGCTTCCGAGTGTTATGTTACAATCGTCCCGATAACTGCTCATAACCCTTTCTCTTTACCTTCCCACGCCAAGGGGTCTGTGGCTAGCGTCGCTAGCAACCGCCAGCTGGAGAGGCATGCGCCAGGCCCCTCACCGCTCGAGACCTACCCCCCAAGACCTCAGGAGACCTCCAGGCAGCCCCGAGGACACCCAAGGAATCTCTTTGCTGGATACCCCAAGGTCGAGGCCCGAGGAGAACCCGAAAGACTCCAGTCCAGGAAGCTCGACCCAGGGAACCCCGAGGGAACGCCGAGGCCTGAGGAGGGCTAGATCGGAGCGGACAGGCGGCTAGCCTCTAGACAGCGTGGGGGTATTCCACGGACTCACAAAAATTGGCACGGGAGGACTCACGTGTCGTGTCTCAAGATCTCTTTCACAGCGTATCACATCTGCTCTGACTCTCTTCTGCAACAATCGACTGATAGAGACCACGCGCAAAGTGTTGGATCAGCATATGGTCATCAGGAGCAGGAGTGACCTGGACTATGTCTGCAACCGCTTGCTCAATGTAAATCTTTGCGGTCGTCGCTGAACCCCATCTGCCTCTCATGATCGTTGTCTCCATACTTTGATGCGACATGAAGTCGCACGCGGCACCACCACGACGGCACGAGTACCATGAGAAGCGAAAATCCTCGAGGTGAAAGAACGCCAGCAGCTTTTTCAGGCAACTGCGAAGCTGCGCTGGCGACCGTGTGCTGATCGTGTCCGGAGGCGCTGCGTGTGCATGCCAGCGCTTGACCAGATCCACGGCGATGGGGCAGTCGACAACGACCATCTCGGTAGTGGCTTTGCGGTACCCTGTCTTGGTCTCAGGCAAGCGGACAATCACTCTGTCATTGATGATCGCAACCTGCTGCTTGGACAATGTGAACAACTCTGTTGTGCGCAAAAGACCTGCGAAACCCAATGCGAGGAGGGTGCCGATATCCACAGCGTCGCACTCGATGGCGAGGGCGGCCATTCCCAGAATGAGCTCTGGCGTGAACGGCAAGGCGCGAACATGCGGTTCGCATCGCCTCCAAGCCTTGAGCAGACCCCATGACAACCCCAAGCTCTGTTTGACTGAGGGAAAGAAGAAGCCTATCGCAACGACAGCATAGTTGGCAAAGCTAACGGGCTGGCCTTCGCTCCAGAGCATCTCTATGTACTCGGCGATGCCCTCGTCGGTGTCCAGCGGTCCTGAGGGCTTGAGGCCTATGGCATCCCAAAAATCGAGGACGCGCTTGGCTGTTGCTCTGTAGCGGTGGAGCGTGGTGGAGGTGACTCGGAGCAGCTTCAACCGAGTACCACGCTTCGCCGAGTGTGCCTTCCTCGCCCTTTGAAGGAGTGTTTGCGGACCTTCTGGGGCTGTCGGAATGGCTTCCCTGGCCCCCTCGCCTTCCACTGGCGTCTGGAGGGAGCGTCGGCGGGGTTGTCCTCTGTCGTGATGTACCCGATGATGGGGTAGAGGCCTCCCGCCGCACAGAGGGCGGCCCACTTGCGCAGGAGCCATTGCAGCCTGGTGCTGGACGACCGCCCCTTCGTAGTGATCGCTGCCACTACCTGCGAGTCAAACAGGTGGACAAACCTGGCGCTGAGGTGCTTTGTGGAGCGAGTCCTCCAAAGCAGGGCTGCGACTCCCGCCTGCAGCTCGCGGGCGTTGATGTGGATGTCAACGCTGCCCTGCCACCTCAGCGAGACCGCGACTCTCCAGTTCCAGTTGAAGGGGCTGATGCTCGCCCGCGGCCACGCCTTGGGTCGATAAGGCAGGCCCACGTCTAGGCGAATGTCGCTCCCACTGCGATCACTTAGTGCAAGGAACTCGCCTGTGAACTCTGAGGCCAGCTTCTTGTCGTACTCGGCTGCGCCCTTCGTGTAGGTGCCGACCTCGCCCCAGGCCAGCGGGCACGCCCCCCGCGCGAACAGAGCTTCAGCAGGTAGCTCGCGAGCAAGGAGTCCTCGAGCCAGAAACAGCTGCTGGAGGAGCCATGAGACCGAATACACTGAATAAGAGTTGCCCAAGAGAAAGCTCCTCGTGTCAGCAACTCCTTGGGCCCCAGGGTCCTTGTGGGCAACCCTTGTGTAATGCTTGTCGAATCCCAGCAGGGCCTCTCTCTCCTCGGGGTTAGGCGCGCGGAGGCTCCCATCCAAGTCGTTCCGAAGCATGGAGGTCTCTTCATACCAGCCCAAGTGATAGCGATAGCAGTCCTGCTCCCACCTCCTTTTTGCAGCGTCCGAAGCAGAGCGGAGGCCTGCAGGCATCGCAGCTCTACTTGAGGCAGGCCGCGGGCACACAAGCGTCGGAACTGGAGCAGCGCCGCCCCCCCAGGTCCAGCCAGCAGCGACCCACTGGAGAGGGGCGACTGAACCGCTGACTCGGCGCACGACCAGGAGTGACCCGCTGGGCTGGCGCAGCTCCTCGACTGCGAATTCCCCGCGAGTCTGCACAGGCCAATTGCACCAGTAGTAACGCGGCCGACGAGCAGGAACAAATATAGAGGAGCATAGCTTGACTGGCGGGACCCCAAGCTCCTTCGTGATAGCATCTCTCACTTGCGGACTCATCGAAGCAACGTTCCCAACAAAGGTGGCTAGCTTCTCCTTGAAGTGCTTACGAAGGAGACCGTGGGCCCGCGGGGTCTCATAGAAGAGCTTCGAACTGGGGCCAGCCAGGCCCGCCCGCGACAAATTGACTGCGCTGAGGTCCTGACAAGGGCTGCCCGCTCCACAGACGCAGACGTCGCACAGGCTGTAGTAGGTGTCAGCCAGCTTAGCGACGTCCTTCTCGGAGATCGATCGGATATCCCCCCAATCTGCGGTTCCAGGCCATCGGAGTCGCACGACTCGTCTAGCAGGCTTGTCAACCTCGCTGCACACCATGCCGATGATGTCGACTGGCAGCCTGGACACTGCCACGGCCAGCGCGGCGACGCCGTCGAAGAGGCTCACGATGAGCACCCTGGGCCGCGGCCGCCCACCTGGCAGCGACGGGGAGCTGCGCGCGGGCTGCAGGTCGCTGCGGCCTGGCCCCAGCACCGGCCTAGCTCCCTGGCGGGCGGCCCTGAGCTGCTGGACTGCCAAGGGCGTGAGGCCAGTGGAAGCGCACACTCCACCTCCAGCCTCCGAGGCATCCGAGACGGTGGCGAGTGGCGACAGCGCGGCCCTAAGGTCGGTGCACGCGATGGGCAGGTACCCGATGCACACGAGCAGCTCCTGGCTCATGCCCATGTTGATGCGCCCTCCTCTCGTCCTGGTGGAGAACTCCCAGACCGAGCTGAGGCAGCTCAAGAGCGGCCGCCTGAACTCCAGGGCCCGAGCGGCGCGGCCCAGCAACGTGAGCATAAGCAGCCATGGGCAGTAATCGCGGCCCAGGGCGTGCAGGATGTAGCGGACCAGCTCGATCATCTTGTCAGCAGGGGCCCTGATCGTACCAGCGCAGCCGTCGATGGACGCCCCCATCCTCTCGAGCTGCAGCTGCCGCGCGTGGCTTTTCTCCTCCGCGTAGGCGACCTCTGCCTGGGTGTAGGCGCGCCGCATGGCGAGCTGCATCTCGCCTGGTGTGCCCACGACCCGATACGCCTCTGCCGCCTCCAGGACCTCGGACGCATCAAAGTCATCGATGTAGACCTGCCACCACGCGTGAGGATGCCGCCTCGCTAGCGGCCAAGGCTGATCGCGCCTCCACTCCGCTTCTGCAGGCAAACCAGCTCCTAGACGCGGTGCTCGCAAGGCCAGGCGGCGGTGCAGGTGCTGGAAGAGGGTGACTGCGAGGACCCAGCCCATGGGGATGACGCGGAACGCCGCGTTGACCAGGTGGTCTCCTGGCAACCCAGCAGAGCTCGCTGGCACGGGCACCGAGACGGCCATTCTGCCATACCAGACTGGCGGCAGTTTCCAGACATAGAAGGCGCCCTTCTGGTCGTCGCTGCTCCACACCATGACGCATCCTGCTGGCAAGTGGAGGCTGGTCCATGAAGCTGAGGCCGCCAAAGTCGACGTGTCCTCAACGATGTTGCGGAGGTAGGCGTTGGAGGGTATCATGTTGAAGATGAGGCGCGTGCATCTCGACTGGCCCTCGAGTGGCTTGCCCATCTTCTCGCGAGCGAACAGGCCGTTGAAGACCTTCTGGCCCGGCGGCGCAAAGATGTCCGCCTCGTCGACCACGCCCAAGATGCCGAGGCCAATCAAGTGCTCTGCGACCTCGCACCAGTCCTCGAGCCTCTCGCAATTGACTCGGGCGCGAGGAGGGTCCAGCGGCCACTCCGCAGCAGGCAGCGTGGCAACTTCAGGGTCCATGAGCCACTCCAGGATGTGCTCGTCAACGAACTCCTCCATCTGGAGCTGCGCGGCATGCTGTTTGTCGGGAAGGCCTGGTATAAGCTCCGCTAGCTTGATGGGCAAGGCCTCGCCCTGCTCCTCACCAGTGTAGTCGACCCTGAGCTTGCTGATCTTCTGGGACCAGTCGATGTCAGGCCGACGAGTCAGTGGGTCATTTAAGAAGCCGTCGACGTGGGAGATGATGGTCTTGTAGGCGGACCGCTGGGCAAGATGTAGCATTGGCGAGTGTCTCCACAGGCGAGGGTCACCTCGACCAACGTAGTCGAAGTTGAGAGACCGCCCCACTATGTATGACCAAACTTCTCTGGCGACTAAACGCCCCTCAATCCTGAACCTCTGACGCTTCCTTCTCGGTCCGTCCTGAGATGCGACCCATGCTCGTGTGAGCGTAAGGTCGGGGAGGGCCATCGGCAACAGGTCACGCGTCCTTACCTGCGGCCCTCCAGTCGTGGGAAGGTGTGGACGAAACTCACGGCAAAACTTTCCAAGGCGGCCTGGGTGCTGCAAATGCAAGGTGACGATGGCGATGCCCAAGTCCAGTAAGTGCGGCGTGGCGGGTACAGCTCGAGTCACAGCTGCCCTCCACGCGGTCAAGTCAGTGCAGACTGGCAAGTGTTCAGGCCAGCGAGGCTGCGCGTCGGTGTTCGGCGCTGCCGCGTGGCCTACTTCGCGGGTCGGTCCTGTCGCCCGCGAGCCTCCTGCATGAGCTTCCTGAGGCGCATGCCGTAGGCTCCTCGCGTCTCGCCCTGCCTCTTCGGGTGGGCGTCCTTGATGGCCTTCCAGGAGACCTCCTTCGGCGTCGCCTCCTTCGAAACGTCCTCGCGCAGCTGCACTGTCCGCTGCGGCCCTGGCGTAGGACGGCGGGCTGCTGCTGCTGGTGCTGCTGGTTGAGGTAGATCCTCGACGAGGTCCGCAGGCGTCCGAGGCCCAGGCAGCCGGTGTGCCGCCTTGCCTTGGCTCCCGCCAGTGTGGCCTACAGGGGGGGAGTTGCTCCTCGGCGGCCCCCTCTCCCGGCCTGACCCCTAGCCCCGCTTGAGCTTGGACAGCAGCTCCTCGAGGCGCAATTCGCCCAGCTCGACTGTGCGCACGATCTCCTCATCCTCCGTCCTGAGCGCAAGCTGCTCGTTCGAGGGCGGGATGAGCTCCAGCCAGCGAGCGCCTGACCAACTCTTGTCAATAGCGAAAAGCTGAAGCGCCTTGAACCGTTGACTCAGCACGTCCAAGGCGTAGGCCGTCTTGCCCGAAAGGATGGCATCCGCGGCCTCGCAGACTGTCCTCATCTCGCGGTAGACCTCAATCCCGATCGACTTGATGGGGTTCTGAGGGATGAAGACCTTCAAAAAGTACTTCAGGAAGATAGGCGGGAACTCCCCCCCCCCCCCCCGCCTCCTCACCAACCTGCGCGGTGACATACTCACTCATCTTGGCCAGTGCCTGCTCAGAGAGAAGCCCAGGGAACCTGGCGGCAATCTGGCGAAAATGACCTCGACGAGAGGCGAGACCTCGCGGGACAGCCCCATCACTACTGCCGCTGGCGCCACTAAGAACTGACTGCAAAACGTCACCAGTGCCGCTCCTGCTGGCCGCCGCCTCAAGCAACAACTGGAGAAGAGGCCCCTCGCCTCCTGCCCCAGCGCTACCGCTCGCGGCACTCGCAGCCGCCTCTGCTGGCACCTCGGGCGCGCGCCTCTTGTCGGCCCTGTCCTGCACGACCTCCTCCAGCGGCCGCTTGGCTCCGCCGCGCGCAGGGGCTGCTCCAGCCACCGCCTCGCGCAGCTTCTCCGTCGGCTGCTCCCCCGCAGGAGCTGGCTGCAGCGCCCCGCGAAGCCGATCGAGCCGAGCGCGAAGGTCGCCAGCCTCGCGCACAGGGGGCGCCACGGCTGACAGGCGGGCGCCTGCCTCCTCTAGCGGCGAAGCCTGCAGGGCAGCGGGCTGGCGGCTGCCGACGCGCGCTGGCGCCGCCCTGGGGCGCGGGCCCGGGGCAGGAGCAGCCGTGTCCTGAACCGCGCAGCTGTCGAGCGGCATGCCGAACTCGTCCAGCGCGACCTCCGTCGACTTGCGAGCCGCCGCCTCTCCTGTAGGCTCGGGCCCGAACTCCTCTGGCCAGCTGGCCCAAGAGTCCACCGCCTTGCACTCCAGATAGAACTCCGACGCCTCCGCTGCGTCGACCTCCTCGAACTCCGAGACGTGAATCAGCGTCCCGCGGGAGGCGCTCGGCGTGGCGAGGCGCATCTCCTCCGCGCAGAAGTGATAGAGCGGCCGCCCTGCCCCGCCGCGCTCCACGGGATGAGCCATCCACCAGGCCCAGTAGCCGTCGCTGCAGCAGATCTGCTCGGCCCGTGCGAACTGGCCCTCCTCGTCGGGCGGGTAGGCGCCTACCACCTGGGTGAGATACTCACCCTGCGGCCGCGACTCTGCGTCGAACGCCGTGCAGCGATACAGGCGGCCAACCTGCACGAGGAAGCCGAGGGCGGCGGCCTCGGGCTCCACAAGCGAGAGGTCGGCAGGCACCTCGTCCTCACCAGCAGCGTCCACCATGCCTGAGTGCGTGAGACCTGGGAAAAGAAGCGAACGGGTCACGCCAAAACCTCGAGGCAAGGTCCTGCTGAAGGAGGGGCGCCTGGACCTCACCCCTCTCTCAAGAGGGAAGAAACATTTGTACCGCAAAGAGATGTACGAAGGGATGCGGCGTTTCTCGGCGTCCGAGTGTTATGTTACAATCGTCCCGAAAACTGCTCATCTATGTATATATGTATATATGTATATATGTATTTATGTATATATGTATATATGGATTTATGTATATATGTATATATGTATATATGTATATATGTATATATGTATATATGTGTATATAAACATATATATAACATTATTGTTTTGGAACGGGCGGGTACGAAGAGTTTGCCTGCCATTCGTGGTGATAAACAAATGTTTTCTGCACAAAAAGATTGCAGCGCTACCTGGCCATGATTTATTAAACCAACTTGTTTGTGACGTTGACGGAGCGCCGGAGAAATGGGCCCGCCACCACCGCAGAGGGCGACCAAGACAACAATGGGCACAATAAGTGTTTGCAATGGCGTATTTTCGTGTGTGATTCAGACATACTTTACCACGTCACATCATCATCATCATCATCATCGCAACGCGTTTGGCGGACGGCTGTCGTTGCACGTGGGACGCGTTCGGCGCGCCAACCTTTATTGGGACGCGTTTGGAGCACCACCCTAATGTTTTCATTGCATTGCCTACGCGTCCTCAGGATGCACGGCGCACTGACCTGACCTGACCAGGGTCGAAAAACACGTGGGATTTGCCACATGCGTTGAAACCTGTGGCCCCCCCCACGCATTTCGGCGGGGTCAAAGTTCAACAACACAAGGTCTTTGCAACATGTCTGAAATCTGGGGGCACTCATCATGCAGATCGGCGGGCAAAGTTCAACAACACAAGGTCTTTGCCACATGTCTGAAATCCGGGGGCACTCCTCATGCAGATCGGCGGGGTCAGGGTCGAAAAACACATGGTATTTGCCACATGTCTTGACATTCGGTGGCGCCCCTCACGCAGATCGGTGGGGTCAGGGTCAAATTATCCTTGCGAAGGACCCAACGAGTAACGCGTTGCGGGTGCGGCTTTCGGTGGAGCTCCCTATGGGGCCACGAAACGCGTGTGGGACATGCCGTAACGGGTGGGGGAGACGCATGCGGGCGGTGCCACTGGGGCCTTCGGTGGTGTTCCCTACGGGTGTGGCTGACGCATGGGGGCGGTTCCCCTCGCTGGAAATCTCGATGAGGCCACGAAGCGCTGTATTGGTTGGGGGAAACGCATGCGGGCGGTGCCGCTGGGGTCTTTCTGTGGAGCTCCCTACGTGGCCACGAAACGCTGCACTGGGTGGTGGCCGACGCATTCGAGCGGTGCTACTGGCACCCTCGGTGGAGTTCCTGATGGGGCCACGGGGAGGGGGGACGCATGCGGGCGTTGCCACTGGAAGGTTCGGTGGCAACTGGAGCTCCCTACGGAGCCACGAAACGCTGTACCGGGTGGGGGGGGCGCGTGCGGGCGGTGCCACTGGGGCTTGGTGGAGTTCCCAATCAGTGGGGCCGCGAAATGGAGTACTGATTGGTGGACGACGCATGCGGGCGGTGCCATTGGGGTCGTTCTGAAGAATTCCCTGTGGAACCAGGAAGCGCTGTATTGGGTGAGGCTAACGCATGTGGCCACCCGCACTGGGGCCTTACGTGAAGCTCCCCATTGGGCCACGAAGCGCTGTACTGGGTGTGGCGGACGCAAGTGGCCCCCCCGCTGGGGCCGCAGGTGGAACTACCTGTGGGGCCACGAAGCGATGTACTGGGTGTGGCGGACGCATGTGGCCACCCCCACTGGGGCCGCATGTGCAGCTACCTATGGGGTCACGAAGCGCTGTACAAGGTGTGGCGGACGCATGTGGCCACCCCCACTGGGGCTTACGTGGAGCCCCCCATGGGGCCACGAAACGCTGTACTGGGTATGGCGGGCGCATGTGACCACCCCCACTGGGGCTGCACGTGGGGATCCCTATGGGGCCACGAAACGCTGTACTGGGCGTGGCGAGCGCATGTGGATACCAACACTGGGGCCGCAGGTGAAGCTACCCATGGGGCCACGAAGCGCTGCACTGGGTGTGGCGGACGCATGTGGCCACCCCCACTTGGGCCGCAGGTGGAGTTCCCTTTGGGGCCACGAAGCTGTGTATTGGGTGTGGCGGACGCGGGGGCCGCAGGTGGAACTACCTATGGGGCCACGAAGCGCTGTACTGGGTGTGGCGGGCGCGCGTGGCCACCCCCACGGGGGCCTTACGTGGAGGTCCCTATGGGGCCAAGAAGCGCTTACTGGGTGTGGCGGGCGAATGTGGCCACCCCCACTGGGGCCGCAGGTGGAGCTCCCCATGGGGCCACGGGGCACTGTACTGGGTGTGGCGGACGCATGTGGCCACCCCCCATGGGGCCGCAGGTGGGGTTCCCTTTGGGGCCACGAAGCGCTGTATTGGGTGTGGCGGACGCGGGGGCCGCAGGTGGAGCTACCTATGGGGCCACGAAGCGCTGTACTGGGTGTGGCGGGCGCACGTGGCCACCCCCACGGGGGCCTTACGTGGAGTTCCCTATGGGGCCAAGAAGCGCTTACTGGGTGTGGCGGACGAATGTGACCACCTCCAGGGGGGTTTTACGTGGAGCTCCCCGTGGGGCCACGAAGTGCTGTATTGGGTGGGTGAAACGCATGGAAGAGGGAGGACGGGGGGGGAGAGAGGAGAAGGAGAACAGAGGAGAGGAGAGGAGGGACGCGGGGACTGTCTCTTCAAAACGAGGGCCCAACACCACAGGATGGTTGGGAGAAACCATAGGGAATTGACAACATTTCAATGTTTCGTAAAACGGTTATTTTGCGCAGCGTTCGCGAGCAACCTCGAAATGCAGCACAGAATTCAATAATAGTATCCCAGTGCGACCCTACCTAGGAGTTGGAGCCTCTAGGAAAACCGCACTAGTGGGAGCTGTAAACGCCGTCCTCCTCCTTCTCCCATCGCCGCAGTTGCAGGAGTAGCGGTAGCAGTCGTAGTCGTAGTCGTAGTCGTAGTAGTAATCGTAGTCGTAGTCGTAGTCGTAGTTGTAGTAGTAGTAGTAGTAGTAGTAGTAGTAGTAGTAGTAGTAGTAGTAGTAGTAGTAGTAGAAAAAGAAGCATAATAAGAAGTATAAACAGTAGTAGTAGTAGTGGTAGTAGTAGTAGTAGTAGTAGTAGTAGTAGAAGTAGTAGTAGTAGTAGTAGTAGTAGTAGTAGTAGTAGTAGTAGTAGTAGTAGTAGTAGTAGTAGTAGTAGGTAGTAGTAGTAGTAGTAGTAGTAGTAGTAGTAGTAGTAGTAGTAGTAGTAATAGTAGTACTAGTAGTCGTACTAGTCTAGTAGTAGTAGTAGTAGTAGTAGTAGTAGTAGTAGTAGTAGTAGTAGTAGTAGTCGTAGTCGTAGTAATAGTGGTAGTAGTAGTAGTAGTAGTAGTAGTAGTAGTAGTAGTAGTCGTAGTAGTAGTAGTAGTAGTAGTAGTAGTAGTAGTAGTAGTAGTAGTAGTAGCGCCAGAACCGCCGACGCCACGCCGTAAGTGAAACAATAGCAGAAGCAGGCAGCAAGTCGCCGTAGTGGATGCTGTGCTGCGCTATGCTATGTTATGTTATGCTCTGCTATGATATCGTATGCTATGCTATGCTGCACAATGCTATGCTGGGCTAGGCTACGCGGGGTTATGCTATGCTATGCTATGCTGCGCTCTGCTATGCTGCGCTATGCTATGCTATGCTATGTGTTTGCTTTGCCTTCGGTTTTGCCTTCACGTTTGCCTTTGCTTTTGCTTTTGCTTGGCACGCAGGGAGCGCAACTGGGGGAACCGCGCGTTTGCTTTTACCTTTGCTGT